CATAAATATTTTATTTTAAAAATATTTTGAAAAAAACAACATTTCAGGCCATCATTAAAAATATCTTTGTTTCCCCTAACCCGACCCTAAAATCTCAAGTTGGGTAGGTAGGTAGGCAAATAATATTTTTTTTTGACAGCAGCTTTGAAAATATATTCTTAAAATCTAATAGAACGATATCTTTATAAATAAGTTAAGTACAAAAGAAAGTGATTTGTAAACAGCTAGAATACCATATAAATGCAGTTTAAAATCAACATTTAAGGTAAATCAATTCACAACTATTATTCAAAGAAATATCTCATACCAGAGTAAATTTGTTGAAATGGAATACATCTGTTTGAAAGATTTTCGGGTACGCAGAGACTGGACACCAGAGTATATTTTTTGTACCTACTATCAGCTTCCATTGCTTTGTTCTTTGTACTTTTTCAGGGGCTTCGAATTGTGCAGTGCTTCTAGAGCATTTCGTTTTAGAGTCTCGAAGTAAGGAGCTATTTCTAAGTTGCAGGTTCAAATCCCAATGCGGGACGTTGAGACCGGTTCTTCGAATGGCACAGTAAAAACTTGGGTCCAGTTACGCAGTAGATACTGGCACGAAAAAAAAATCCTCACTGCTCATGGCCTAAAGTGCCGCGTACACGTCTAAATTTGGAGTCCTTCACCAGGCAAATGTTTAGATAAATGTTGTTGTCCCAACAATTATCAAAGGGATTCAAATCAAAGAAACAACCAATCTTCCAGGGTCTTATTAAAGAAAAATACAGGGACGTCTCAGGAAGCTTGTATCATAATTTCAAATCTATTTGGAAAAAGCATGTTAACAATATTTAATTGAGACAAACAATATATAAAAATCAAAGTACTGTGAGTACTGATAGACGGTGGCATGAATGATTTTGTTTGATTGATTGTTTGTTTTAATTAAAACGTCCCTCTCGGGAATTTTTCACTCATAATGAGACGCCACCATTGCCATTGGTGGGCTGCAAATTTTATATCTATACTCAGCACTCAGGGCCATTGTGCAGTGAGGGATCTTTTTTTCTGGCCAGCACTTACTGCGACACGGGACCTCAGTTTAACGGTCTCATCCGAAGGAACGGTCTCCACATCCCGCAGTGGGATTCGAACCCGCGACCTAAGGATCGACTCCTTACTCCTTGACTCTAGAGCAAAGGCTCTAATTACTGGCCACTGGCATGAATGAATTAAATGAAATAAAATGATAAGAGAACTGTAAAATGATATGGAAATTATGAAAGTTTGTTGCAATGTTTCACAATACATGTATTTGATGAGTTATTTTATATTTGCGTCAGTATGATGAAGACATGTATTAATTGAAGTTGTTAAACAATTTATTGCATGAAATTTTCTACATTTATTTAGTTTTATTATGAAATAATGTTTGAAGAAAAACAATGCGCTGAGATGCAAGAAAAAAAGCTTGATCATTTCAATCTTTTTTTTTTCATTAATTAATCCTTAAAACAATTCATTTTACCTTAAATGTTAAATTAAGGGAATCAAAGGTTCTATTATATTCATGTGGTGACCGAACATGTTTATTTTAAGATAGCTTTCTATACGTGCATGTGTGGTTCCATTTAGGCGCTCTTCCAAGTTAGATGTGCGTTTTGTTTTGTTTTTTTTTTAGCAGAAATGTGTTTGAGATATTTGAGGAACAATTAATAAACCTATTGTGGGTTGCAGATATGAGCGAGTATCAGTAAATTCCGAATTCATTGTACCTTCTTCGCATACTAGTAATTTGAAAATAATCTTATCAGCATGCATTTCAGTGATATCAAGTATCAAATGAAAAAGTTAAATTTTACAACAAAAAGTGTCATGAAATCGTGGTGTTTTGAAGTTAGAAATTGTGATTTTATAATTTAAAATCTTATACTCAGTGGTTAATTATCAAATTTTGCTAATCTGGAGTAAAATTGAACTCACAATATTTTTTTTAACAAAAACTAACTTTTCTTTAAATATATGGTAAAAAGGGAAATGATGAATCACTTTTGGCGTTGTACTGTAGATTGTGCGACATAAATCATATGCTGAAAGATAATGAAATAGACTTTATCTTTGGATCCCCATTTTTGCCAGATTTCCACATGTAGGAGAATACTGACCTAAATTAAGTCAACTGAATTCGCAAGAAAATCCTAATATTTCATGTACATGCTTTTGTGTAGCTTTTTTCTTACACTTTTAAAGGGTAAATTTTATTCGAGGCACGATAGAATTTTCAAATACAAATGAAATATATGGGTAACTTTTATTCGTCAGTCTTATAACTATATATAGCTTTGATAAATTAGCATCCTTTCAGTAGTTTTTGTGTCCGAGATAATTAGGCAATGACTTTTGTTTTTAGATAGAACCGAAATTAACTCTGCAAAAATGATAACATGTCATACACAATGTCAATGTTACGAAGTTTAACCCATGATTAAAAAGCATGAAGAAAGGACATTTAAATTCTATTCATTAGGATGAAATATGCAGACTTATTTACAACTCCTATGGTCCCATATAGTAAACATTGGAATATTGATGAATTGTGTATAAGACCAAAACTCAAATTAAATAAAATGCAATGAAATTGATTGGTGTTTTCACAAGGGGGCTCCTTGTCTGCTCATGAGGGGTATCATGAGGAGGGCTTATGGGCCTAAGCATGCTCTCTACGTACCTTAATTTTAAGACAGGCTAGTAAATACAACCCAAACACTTTCAATTAGTCATTGGATATTATATTTTATAAACAAAGTGTTTCAAGAGTGCAGGATTCTAATATGCTAAAGGCATAAGGTTGATACGTTTCCTTTCTTTTAAAACACGAACTAACCCTCCGTGACCACATGTTGTAGGCACTATTTTGTTTCCAATAAACGCTTGAAAATCACAGAACAAAATCAATCGTTCTGATTAAAAAAAAACAGATTTGATAGAATTTTAATTTATAGAAGTTGATAAATATTAAAAAAAATATTTGAATAATCTTATGAAAAAAAAACTTTCCAGTCGGTGCGTTTTAATTGGGTAGGTCGCGTTAGGGGGAAACAAAGGTATTTTTTATTTTGACCTCACGAAAAAAATTCTCAATGATCTGGGAATACTATATAATTAGCCAATTTATCATACTTTTTTAAGCAAAAAGTTCATTCCTTATATATTATTTAAATCTTTTTGATTACCACATTTTACATGACATTTGAAGTAAAAATCACAATAAGTTTCCTCTATATTCTTCAATAGCTTATAATGAAAAAGGTGAAGATAACGAACATCTTCCTCGATCGGGATCGGGATCCTCCGCGTGCAAGTAAGTAGGTGCAGCAATGATTTTTCAAAAATATTGTCATATATTTAACTATTACCTATGAATCATACATGTAAAATGCAACATAATTATGTTGACATGCGACTCATTTATGTTAACATGCGATATAATTATGTATATACGCAACTTAATTATGTGGACATGCGAGTTAATAATGTTGACATGCGGCTTATTTTTGTCAACATGCGAATAGATTAACTAATTAAGTCGACTCGCAACACACTTATGTTCACATGCTACTTACGTAAACATGCGACTTATTCATGTCAACATTCAACAGATACACTGACGTGCGACTTATTTATGTCAACAGGCGAGTTAATTATGATGTCAGATGATTGGCAACTTGATTATGTCAACATGCAAGATAATGTTGATAAGTCGCATGTCAGCATAACTTTCTCGCATGTTGACAAAATTAACTCGCATGTCAACATAAATATGTTGCAACTGTTGTACATTTGTGTACTGGCGTTAATAGCAGGCCCGTAGCAACGGTTTCAAAAGAGGGGGGGGGGACTTCCCAGAAAAATCTGACAAGCAAAAAAAAGGTCATTTTCTGTCCAAATCCTGGAATTTGCCTGTGCTCGAACTTACAAGATCAAGAAAATGGGGGGGGGGGGGTAACCAGCATCGAATGGAAAATTTACTATAGCAAAATACTAAACTCAGAACAAAGTGTGGAGGGGAGAGGGCTCCCCTCGCGTTCTACGGGCCTTAATACATGTAGTTAGTAAATTTACCCACATTAAAATTTTCTAAAAAGATTGGTTAACTTGCAAATCAACATAATTATCTTGCATATAGACATACCTCGGTAATGTTGACGTAAGGAGTACTCCTCCTCAGTAGTACAGTTTTTGTTCGATTTCAGTAAGAATTGGTACACAAGTAGTCCGCTCTAAGATACATAATTCTCTTTATCGGTGTTTGATTATGACAAACGGTGTTGCCGTGGTGTATCTGTATAATTCCCCTCCTACAGTTTAAATCCGATTTCAATAAAACTTGGTACACATGTAGACTATACTGAGATAAATACAATAAAATAATTATGTTTACTGGTTTTTGATTTCCAATAGTCGATATTGCCATGTGTTAGTATAACTATAAATTTCTGTGAAATTCTTTCAGAACATGACTCTTCCCGCAGTTTTGGTCGGATTTCAGTAGACTTGGTACACAAGTAGATTATACAAAGATACATCTTTATCATAAGTACACACCATAGAGCTACAGTCTCATCAGAGACTTCTGGTTTTATATGTGAGGGATTTAATGACTGAAATATTGAGACTTGTTAGCTTAGATGGGATAAATTAACATTGTGTTATAAATGACAACTGAACTGAAGACAACAGTTCTTTAAATGAAAAAAAAAATGAAAATCAATCCTTTGATTTTATTATACTTAGACCAAAAAGCAAGGTACACATCTTTTCATGTTGTAATAAAAATTATTTTACCTTGGGTCTGGGATTCATGTTCTGAGGACATATTTCTAGTTGATTGTGTGGTTCTGTTCCGTATATATATATTATTATTTTAGAATAAATCTTTGACCATCTGTGTCCTATTGCTCTTTTATGATTGTATTTAGCTGTTTCTGGCGTTTATGTTCCTATATGATTTTTCTTTTCAGGAATATGACTCGATTTAAAAAGCCATGTATGTTAATCATGGTAGGCTTTAGCCTTGGTTGGATATTAACGTACATATTTTACAAAAACGCACTGGATATGGCGAATAATACGATTTCGAAGTTACAACTGATGCACAATACTTCCGTTTATACTACTTTCAAAAGAAATGTGCCAGCAATAAGTCATCAGCCTAAAAACCAATTGATTGTGAGTGCTGTTTCAACCACCAAACGCAGTATTGGACTATTTGGTGACAAGGAATCGGGAATAGTGTACAGTAGAAGTCAAACAAAATGGGAGGTCCAATCAAGTTTGTGTAAAAGGAACACTAGTGGTTTTTATCGAGCAACACTGCGAATCGCCCATGGCTCGACTCCAATATATATTTATGATCCAAAAATTGATAAATGGGTGAGTGGTAGTGTAGTAAAATATGGCAGCTGGGAAGGAAATCATATAAATTTAATTATAGATTTGTTAAAACGGGACCCAGAAATCCAGTTTGTAGACATTGGTGCCAATGTGGGCGTGTTCACTCTCGCGGTGGCGCTTTCCGGAAGACGTGTGATAGCGGTGGACGCACTCGACATGAACATACAGAGATTGTGTTCTTCTGTGATGGAAGGTAATTTCAGTAGTAGGGTGAAACTTGTATACAACGCCCTTTCGGATGTGCACGAAACAGTTTCACTTGGAAAAGATAAAAACAATGTTGGAGGTACATTTGTGGCAAAGAATAAAAATGCAAATAAAGTGAGAGGCAGTCAAGTAGATGGAAACTATGGTACTGTTCGGGCAATAAAATTGGATGATATTTTATCTGTGCCTCATTTTGACTTTAAAAAAGTTATAATTAAAATTGACGTTGAGGGCTATGAAAATAAAGTTTTTAAAGGAGGTGAAGTTTTTTTTGATAAAGTGGATGTACAGGCAATATTAATGGAGTGGCTTTGGCTCAAAACAGGAAGTGCTGGTGAAGAAATTATAAACTTTATGTTAAAGAAAAACATGGAACCTCACATACCTAATCAGATGCCATCACCACTTAAGATTCAAGACCGCTCGAAATGGCCCAATGATATATTATGGAGAAAAAAGACAAATAAAAAATTTCTTTAACATATCCTGCCTATTTCTATTATATTGGACACATAAGCGTTTATTTTGCTTTATTCGGAGATGATGTTGGCACTTTTAAATGAAGTTAAACTTAATATATATATTTGACCAAAACTCTAGATTTTAGGCGCAAAAAAGGCAAATTTTCAAAGGTAATTTTCTTTACTTTCTGATTATATCTTACCAAATTTTCATGGAATCTATTAATTTTGAATTCAATTTCACAATACCCTTGTAAACTATTTCAAACCGAGAACTTTGCCTTTATTTGGAAAATGGGGGTTGAAATAACGGTGAAATATTTTCGAGAATGAATCATATAACATAAAATGAAAACTAATATATTAAAAGAAAAAAAAAATATTTCTGACAATTTAATGAAAGACACATTTACCAACAAATAGGGTAAAATATTTTTAATATTTTATTTTAAAGAAAAACTTCCTAAAGGCAAAGAATGAGGGCGTACAAGGCGGGGACAATCCCCTCTCTTTGAGAATATATTTTTTTCAATTTTCAAAGTTCATTGAAATGTTATATTTTAAAAAAATTAACCCCCCCCCCCCGGCCCCTGGTGTCAGTAATCTCATCTTTAGCACATTTGTTGTTTATTTGATTAACTGATTTATTGATTGATAATTTGTTTTTTAAAGTTGACGGTGAAGCATATTTAGGTTTATTGGAGACATAAAAATGATTTTTGAATGTTCCTGATCAAGTCTCCATTCTTCTACATTAGCGTTTAAATGACAGAAAAATGAATGTTAAATCATTTTATATTTCAAGAAAAAAGAGTCTGAACCCATTCTATATGAAAAACGAACATTTATGAAAAAAAATATATGCTTCAACAAATTCGTTTATTTAGAACACACCGACACACTTCAATGAGAAGAGGTTAACGTGTTCAGTCTTACGCCTTACCTTGAGCTTTGGAGAGAGTTCAAATCACATGTGAAGCTCTTTTTTCTCCCTTTTTACATACCTTAAAAACATGATTGAAAAATTAAGTATATATCAATAAGTAATTCAACAAAATAAAGGAATTAAATTTGCAAATGATGATACTGACAACACATTTTATGAAAAATATAACTTCATTAACTTTTAGAATATAGAAATGTCTTTTCTCAGAGCGGGGGATTGTCCTCACCTTGTATGCCTCCAATCTTTGTTTTTTAAACAAACATTTTATGAGCACTTTGAGGTTTCTTGCAAACTCTTACAAATCTTAGCTAAAAGGGTTTGACCTCTCAATAATTTGGTCATATAAGTAAATACACATGTATGTATATACTTCACGTACATACTCTCCATTCAAAAATCCAAGCTGTGTATGTACTTTACGATAGAAAACGAGGGGTACTATAAGCACTGAGCTCACAAAATGATGCTCCTGCTTCCATATGAGTATAATGGCAAAGTCCATGTTTTTTTAATGGGAAACCACAAATATCTGGCCAATCGGAACGTAAAATTAGGAGGTGCACAATGTATGCACAATATAATAAAGATTATGAGTCTCAATAAATTTTATTCTGTGGTATAGAAGGAAGAGATGGATAACCCCCCCCCCCCCGTATTAGGGAAAAAATTGCAGTCTCCGTGATTTTCTATGGGAAATATCTGTCCGATCGAAACGTAAAATAGGAGATGCACAATGGCACTATGTAGAAAAAAAATTCTGTGTAAGTCTTATTAAATTATATTGAGTACACAGTGTAAGAAGAGTTGCAGATAAGGGATGGCTATTCCCAAGTGTAACACCCCCATCACTATATACCACCCTCCACTTTTAAGCGGGGATATACAAAGCTAATTACAGCGCTTGTACTCCTCCAATAACGTCTCGATGACCTTCATTTTTTGTTAGTAAAAGAATTTCTGTTCAGTTGTACTTCTTCCACTTAACTAAAATTGCTTCTGACGGGATTAAAAATGAAAATAAAAATAGGAAAATATCAAGAGGATGCTTGCACATAAATATGACTACTAATGGCTTGTTGTTATTGAGTATAAGATTTAAAAAAAAATCTATATATTCCTATGTACAATTTTGCTCATCAATTGTGGCCCCATCCTACCCTGGGGGTCATGGTTTATATACTATTGGAGGATGCTTTCATATAAATATGACTAATCGTGGCTTTGCTGTTCTTGAGAAAAAGAGTTTTAAAGATTTTTCCTTAATGTTCCTATATAAAACTTAAATCACCTATTCTAGCCCCGGGGGTCATGGTTTGGACAAAATTAAATCTTCACAATGTAATGAGGCTTTCACAAAAGTTTAATCTTTTCTGGCCCAGTGGTCATTGAGAAGATTTTAAAAAGATGCCATTAAATTGTCACTAATTCTTAATTATCTCCTCTTGAAAGAGGGCGTGGCCCTTCATTTGAACAAACTTAAATCCCATCATCTAAGTATGCTTTGTGGCGTGTTTGGTTGAAATAGGCCAGTGGTTCTCGAGAGGATGTCGAAAATGTGAAAAGTTTACAGACGACAGACGGACGCTGGACGGTGAACCACGCCAAACACCCTTCGATCAAAAGCTCACTTGACCAGTCGGCTCAGGTGAGCGAAAGACGGTAAATAATTCAGGCATTGGTATAAAGTATGATAGGCTTTGAATTCATGGCTTTTTGATAAGTTGTCTTATAAAAATTATCAGTAGGTGGGGGTTACACCTTCCATACGTCAGGTGCCTATGGTAATTTCATGCTTCATATAGCTTAATGTACTAAAAAATCGGTAATATATTGATGATCAAACATTGTGTCTGCGGATGTTGGATGTCTCCAACTCCCAATGCCACATCACTCGATAAATTGATACAAGTATTTACTATTTTATCACATATATGTGTGAATTTCTGTTTGCATAGATTGTTTTCATAAACAGCTATTTTTGCCAGGAAATCCAAACATATGACAAAAGTCATTTTTATTGTGTAAATGTTCCCACACAATGGATATGTGCTGCGGATGTATAAAATTGCTCTCTTCCATCGCAGGATGAGGCAGGACAGACGGGTAGTTTTCAAAGTAAGAATATTTCATATATTAAAAGAAAAACTTTTATTTTGAATAAAAGTTACTTATAATTTATATGTAGATTTTTTTTTAAATAAAGAAATAATTTAAAACTGTACAACGCATTGAGATATAGGCCCGGAACGTTAGTAAATGTAACGTTGAAAGATCACGCTATTATTTCCCCTTGTTTCATATTTCACTGTAGAAAGTAACAGCATGAAATTGCTACCTGAAAACACTCTGACTATATTTCCATGAATTATCTAAGAATTTTTCTTTACATTTTCTATGAAAAACTTTGAAGTATTGTGGTCACACCCTTGTCGGTTGGTGAGGTGGGGTGCATATCTACATGTTATAATAATTACTTGCATATTAATTGAACAATTATGCAAATAAAAAATGGAGACATTATAATGAAAGGGATTTTTTTAACTCGTTTAACCTCTCAACTATGTTTTTTTTTTCACGTGCACCATTGTAAAATTGATATTGCTATAAAAATGTAAATCAACACATTTTTTCCTTTCTTACATATTTGTTTAATATATTGCTGCTCAAGCTCAGAATATAATTACCTGTTAAGCAGTTCAAAGAAATTTCCCATACATGTATATTTTCCCATAAATCCTTGTCTCAAGTTTGAAAAAACTTACATCTGCACTGCATGAGTTGCATATAAATTTGACCATTTATTGCTTAGTTTGATATTAGAAACTAATCAAACTATATTTTTCTTTGTAAAATCTATCCTGTAGCCCTATCTCAACCTCAGGGAATGACTTAAGTAAATTTAAATCCACATTTTATGTATGAAATTCGAAAGTTTAATATAACAGTTTTCAAAATCATCACATTTGAGGTAAAGTTTTGGATGAATGGTATATGTATATATTTCTTGTTTGTCGTAAGAAGTGTGTTTGCCTGTATTTTTCTCAAAATGTTGGCTAAGTGGGAAGACACCGGATAAATAGCTCCTAAACCCGTTTTATTTAGACGTCCACCAGTGAACTTTATCACGGAGAACCTAGCACGAAAAGGGGAATAATACAGCTGCCATCGTAGTTGACAATGACGAACTTCAAGCGGGCGACGTAAAATATCGCCGTCTTACGTCGCCTGCGTGGCACAGTGGTTATATTGTTTGCCCTAGAGTCGCGGGGTAAGGAGTTGGTCCTTACGTCGCGGATTTGAATCCCAATGCAGGACATGGAGACCGGTCCTTCGGATGAGACCATATAAACCGAGATCCCTTTTTGCAGTATAGGTGCTGGCACGAAAAAGACCCCTCACTACTCAGAGGTCGTAAGTGCCAAGTACAGGTCTAAATTTGCAGCCCTCCGCTGGCGTCTCGATATGAGTGAAAAATTCTAGAAGGGACGTTAAACAAACAAACGAGTAAATCTCCCTCTTACAGTTCTATCAGCTCTCAAGTATATTGAAATGACCATGCAACACGGAAGAAACCTGACGATATATAATTCTATGACTTAAATATTGATATACCATACAATTTTCAGTGTTTAGCGGTGTTTTGAAAATGAAACAATGTTTGGTTTCACGGCCCCGGGTAACCTCTCTCAACGAATACATCAGTTAAAGATGCAACAATACCATTTATACACTTGATCTATTATTGGTAATTATAATGATTAAATTTTCATTCGTTTATCTAAACAATTATTGTCTCTTATTTACCTGTATCCCTTACCTGACACAGCGTTTACTAAGTGGCACGCGCCCCGAGAAAATCGCGTACATGTTTCATTACATGTAACAATCCAAATTTGCAGAATTATATACTGAATATTTTTAACAATATTAAATCTTTTATCAAAATATTTTAGACAGTACAGATGATATTTCAATATTATTCATTAATGCCAAACTGGCGCTCTATATCGGGGTCGCAATTCAATTTTACCAATAAACGATATTTTACGGTATAGGGCACGAGTTATACTGAAGAATATTAGTTATGTAAACAATATAACAAAACAAATAATACACACTTAATGTAAAATAAGATAATATTTGTACTTTTATAGTGCATAATCCTAGAATACATAAATAATAATATAATCTGACTTTTGTCTACGATAATCGTCGGAGTTGTTTAAAAAATACAACATTTCGCCGACCAGAAAAATACCCATCTTTAAGCCTATAGGTCGGACGTAGAGTTTTGGACAGAAAATTAACTCCCCCCCCCCCCCCCAAAAAAAAAAATTATGGGCGAGTGTATAACGGCAGTTCATTAAACAGACAGAGAACTCGCAAATGTTCCGGGAAAACATGCCCTCGATCGTGTTCAGAGAAAAGAATATAACTTTTTTCTCTTTCCTTTTGACGTTCTTGTAGACACCGTAAGAGCTGACCTGCTGTTGTCAATCGTTGAAACACTGGGCTGAGTGGTTCAATAGTGAATTTGCTAGTTGAAGAGATTCAGTATCAGACCACTGCAAAATAAACGCAGCACCCCAGGAATTGTTGGATAACCGGATTCTCCACTATATTGTATACCCAAACAGAAACTGGAAGCTGCACCCAAGACGTAAGGTGATAATAACAAAGTGGATAGCCTGTTTCATAGAGTGGACTACAGCGTTATCTAGTGTGGCGCTCTTGGCACACACCGGCAGCTAACTAGAAACGTACGCGTGCAACAGGTTAATTATTGCGTCTGAGGAGTGAAGTTCAGTCTCATAAATCCATATAAGTTGGGGTGGGGGTGAGGGCATTGAAAATGTTCACCCCAAGAAAACCAAGGAAGTCGAGGTTGGCAGTGGTTTTCGAGGAGTGATATTTTTTCAAAGATACATGTGCCACCAACTACATGTATATGCAATATTCAGAATATTATACTGAATGTTTTATACAAATATGTAACAGTGAACCATAAATTCTGCGCAGTCAATTTTCTTTATTTCACCCGTCGTCAAGCTATCTTGAATGTTGCTACGTTCTGTCCACAGGCACCTGACGTTACTTATTTATTTTTCTTTTAAAATATATATATATATATATATATATATATATATATATATATATATATATATATATATATATATATATATATATACCCTACCTAATAATTCACGTGAAATATTAGGTAGGGTTTTTTTTTATTAAAAGAAAAATAAGTAACGTCAGGTGCCCGTGGTTCTGTCAAACTAAAGGGCGTGGTTTCATCATTCTGGGGATATTAATGTTTTCAACGAATGTTTCTCGACGGAGGTTCAACTAATTTATATGAAATTATAAAATTTAGGAATTACATGTACTTTCCGTTTAAACATAGTAGAAGGCTAGCCACTGAGAAAGCCACTATTCCTCTTTGGTAAAATTCCTCGTGTGATAAAATATTTGGCACAACGTAAAGGGGCACTTTTGAAAGATTATGGAGGGAGGGGTCACGAGCATCTTCATCGTTAATTAAGCTATACTCTTGATAATTTGACTCGATAAACAGTGCGTATTTGATTTTTCTGGTCGAAAAATTGACTTGTGAACAGATACGGGAATAGTGTTCAATGCAAAAAAAAAGTTTCGTTTATAGTATTTTTGTTAGTTAGTTAGTTTTTGTTTGTTTGTTTGTGTTTTTTTTTGGGGGGGGGGTGTTTTGTTTTGTTTTTTGAGCGATTAAAATGTAAATATGATCATGTACTTAGACATCATCCGGTGTTCACTATATGAGAAACCCATCAAACGTTGGATCTATGAGGAGCGTGTAATTTGATGGCGTGGTGAACAGGGCAGACGTGGAATGTCACCAGCAATTAAGTCCACACATAATGATCGAGACAGCAACCAAAACCCTGCAATTTTTACCTGTTGGCCTAGGAGATTTGAAGCATGTTAATATGAGTTTATTTTAGGTTTAGAGGCTAATTTCGAAATTTACTCAATAAAAATTCGTTTTTAAAACTTTCTGTTTATATGTTTATTTTAGGAAGGTAATGCTTCTCGCCTGTTATGGACTGAACAAGAATTGTTGAATATTTCCACTGGTTTCATTAACTACAGAGAAGCCTTATTTATTCCGTAAATTTGATGAGACAATTTAATACATTATGTACACTAATTTTATTTACCAAAGCTGTTTTACCTGGCAAACAGAAACCACGTGGTCGGTTATCAGTGAGATAACGAATCTAGAAATAAATTTGTACGTACACGTGTCTGTCTTTGTCCGAGACGGGATTTCCTTAAAAAAAGTGACCGGTAAACTAGAAGAATCTATAATAATTTTGTGATTCATTTTTTTATTGAGATTTGGATACTCATGTTGTCAAAAATGGTATTATATCCATAAGGAAAGGTCAGTCAAGTTTTCTTGTGTTTGGATAAAAACACCTACACGTGGTACGCGCCTTAGTTGCCGAGCACTTGAAGGTCGAAATCAATATATTCAGTATTAGAATAAATCTTTTTGAATGAATTTCTAATCCTTATATTACAGGTAGCGGCCAGGATGAAGTTCAATTTAGCCGTGAAAGTTGGCTGCTTGGCGTTTGGTTGCTTCGTTGTAGGCTGGTTCATTGCTAGTCTACAATGTGTCCACAATCCCAGTATAGCTCCGGTGGTAGATAGTAGTGTTAACTTTTGGAGTCAACCAAGAACTACAAAAGCACCGATACCATCTGATTGTTTTATATATCAAAGAGATGAAAAGGAGTGGAAACCTAGTAACATAACATGTGGTGATACATCCAAGTTTATGAGAACTACATTACATACAAGCTCTGGAGACACGCCTATTTTTATCTATGATCCTCAAATAGATAAATGGGTTAGCGGAAGTTTATATCGAGATGGCAGATGGGAACCCCAATTTGTTGATATAATTTCGAACATTCTAAGAGCAGATAATGATCTTCATTTTATAGATCTTGGTACAAATTTAGGAGTTTTTGCGTTATCTGTTGCTAAAATGAACAGACAAGTACTTGCTGTGGATGCATTAGCAATGAATATAGAGCGCTTATGTGCTTCCATAAAAGCAGGGAATTTTACTAAAAATATTAAAGTAGTGTATAACGCCTTATCAGACGTTAGAGAAATGGTGTCACTTGGTGTAGATAAAGGAAATGTTGGCGGAACCTTTGTAGCAAAGGACAAAAATCAAAATAAAGTGAAAGGAAGTGAAGTTGGTGGTAATTACGGTTCTGTCCAAACGGCAAAACTTGACGATATGTTAGAGCTTCCGGGATTTAACGCCAAAAAAGCTGTGATCAAAATTGATGTGGAAGGATATGAAAATAGAGTGTTCAGGGGTGGGGAGGAATTTTTCAAACGAGTGAATGTGACAGCAGTGCTAATGGAATGGTTATGGCTTAAAACAGGTCCAGAGGGCCAAGAAATAGTAGAATTTTTTAAGCGCCATAATTTTGAAGCCACTGTTCCGACAGACAGACGTGTTTTACCTATTGACCAGAGAGGACAGTGGCCAAACGATGTCTTATGGCGTAAAAAAGTTTGATGATAATTCCATTTTAGTAAAAAAAAAAAAAAAAAAAGAAGTGAATGGAGGGTATATATGATAAGAGTATTAAATTAGTTTTACAAATGTTTTTACTTTTCAACTATTATGTTTAGATTTGTGGATGGGGCTCCATATCCACTGAAGAGTATTGAAACAAATACTAAACATCAACAGGGAGAGGGAAAATTTATCACCTGGATTTACAGTGTATCAATTCCATACATACTTTCTTGTTTCTTAGTTGAATCTGATTTGTCGAGAAACATTTGTTAAAAAACACTGTTACCCTCTGAATGATGAAACGACGCCCTCTAGAGTGAAAGAACGTACGTAGCAACATTTTCCTCGACTTTGCCTTGGTTGACAATGATTTCTTGGGGTGAAATTTTTCAATGGTTCCCTCAAGTACATGCAATATTTATATATCCAATGATATATGAGAAGAAGAAACACGCCATATTAATTACGCCACTCAGTTTCCTGTAGAACTTGAAGCCAATGTCATCTTTTTAAATATACCATGTGTATGTTTGTTGTAAAACATTGAAAATCAGAGGAGGCGGTTCAAATCCTCTGACAAACCCACCCTCAGTTGGATCGGCTCGTTTTGGTGTTAAATGTCACTTCAAATTAAGTGAGGAATGATGACATTATCTTAACAATACTCTCGAACAATGTTCGCAGTCATTTATGCAACTATCACCCACCTGGTAAATTTGGATAATATGCTTTAAGATAACAAAACAAGTCCGTGTAAGGATCATATCACTCCAATGACTGACCTATGATAAGTTTTACGGACGTGTGTCCTAAAATCTCAATGTTTATCACAAGAAATGGAACGTATACATTTAAGAATTCGCTCATATCTGGTAATTAGGATGAAAATTCTCATACTGCAGATTGATGAGTACAATTTTATTAAGAACCCTAGCATAACGTTGTCTAGAACAATAGGTTAAGATGAAGGATTTTTTAAAAAAAATTTCAATTGTCAGATCCACATTTTCTGGACGAATGATCAGTTTATCTTCATTTATCATATTTACTTTGAGGCATCTTTAATACCAGTATTTAATCAAATCCTGATTTTGATCCTGCATTCTCAAGAAAACTATGTACATTTATGACTAAAATTTATGACATTGTCTGTTCTCCGTAATCGAATTAATCTGGGCACTTCCAATTTATTGTTAATATGTATATATTAACCTCTTGTACCATTTATACGGACCGTTTTAAAGATTGAATAAATGAATAGATAAATCAAACTTGTATGGATGATCATACTATGGAAGCACTATTTTCAACATGATTTGAATTAAGGGCCATTAGAACGGGGGAGGGGGGCAATTTTGAGTCTGAGTATAGCCTTTTGCTGTAGTTTTAATATGTAAATTTCCATTTAAATGGTGGTTAACCCCCCCCCCCCCTTCCAAAAAAGGCTACTGAAAAAAAGGTCCACAACCACAAGGTGGCCGTGTGGGATCAGGTTAAAATTTTCGTACGAGGTTCTATAATCATAAGTACGAGTACTGTACTATAAGCCCAACCTGACCAAACCTGTAAAAATGTTGTATTGGGAGATACATATGACAAGTGATGCCGACTGCGACCTGCATGTACATTGTACAGATATGATCAGATTAAAGAATTGTTGAATACTTATCATACATTTCAATGCACATAAAATAATATACTTCTACACTGATGGTTTCTTGAATCGACCATGTGGGTCAAAAGACAGATTTTGTGGAATACCCCACCATAGAGAGTCGGGCATCGCAGCAGTATTTTTACTGTCCTTTCTGACAGTGGCAACTGTAGGTGTTTCTGATCGTAACAGCATACAATCCAATAGGATATTGCAATCAAAAATAAAATAATGTACATTACATTAAAATCAGTAAAGCATACAAAATATTTGCAGAAAATTTTATTGTATGGGTTACTTAGTCTGTCTTTTCATTTTCAGTCGATGTCGTTTATCATGTCATGTTCATCAAGCTTTTTCTCTTAAACTATTGAATTAAACCTATTTGGGTAAAAAGTACGAATGGGTATCCCCTTGGAACATTTTGAATGAATTCTTTGAGGCCATTGCCTGTAAAATATAATCATCTAAAACAATCTTTTAAATCAACAGGGTTTTTTTTTACCAAACATTTGTCATATCTCCTGGTGTAACGAAGAATTTTGACACGGGTTGAAAATTGACCCGAGGTTCATTATTCAACGTTGAATATTGAACCAGGGGTGATTTCTCAACGTTGACAATTGAAATCAAAGTCATAAAATTTACATCCGGGGTCATTTTTCAACAATTTTTTTCTCGGTATACTTATGACATCAACACGTTGAAAATTGACCCTGTTGAATATTGACCCCAACTACAGCGTTTTGCCGTGTGTTCGATCTGGATGTTGTTATACATGTACATTTGCATACTTACTCCTCACAAAAATATTGACTGCTGTGAAAGAGAAACTTCAAAAGCAACTTCAAACGTAATGTACTACAACATATATTCAAGAAGTGGAGAAATATCAATCAAATGTGGACTCTTTAAAACCCAAAAGAACTTTTAAGAAATTTAAAATCACAAAATTTTTCCAAAGTCACTAAGTTTATGATTTTTCAACACTTTATATAAATTTCCTCACGATGAATTAAAAATTATTCTATTTTGATATCATAGACAACTGCTTCTTCAATTTAAAAAAAGGAAATTTGGAAAGGATGGTGTGCCAAGCGGTCCCCGCGAGATTGACAAAAAAGTAAATGCCTGTATTTCACACTAACTTTTGCTTGTATTTAATGCAAAAACAACTTTTGCATAAGAAGAAGAAAACACTTGATACATTTAAACAATAAAATGCCTTCTTTGGTTGTTAGTATGGGAATTAATGTCGCAGCTGTTGCAGAAAAAATACATAACCCGCGTAAGCGGGTTATGTAAATTTTTTCTGCAATAGCTGCGACATTAATTCCCGTACTAACAAACAAATAAAGGCATTTTATTGTTTATATTTACATCTGTATAAAAAAATTCAAAGTAAAATTAAATATGTTTTATATTGTATTATAGATCGAAGTGTATGTCATTGTATGTTTAATTCATAGAACAGCCGTTACTCAAGAAATCTATTTAGGTGGCTTGCTTAGTGTTGTTTACTCACTGATAAACGGCAATGGGTTTCTTAAGAAATAAAGGAAATAATATTCAGTGGATGTAAATATGTATGGCCTTCAACTCGACATTCAGATATATCGACAACAATCGTTAGTAACAATAGTTACTTTCATTCGTACCTGCATGTCGACTCCATATAATCTAGTGAACTTGAAATAAGAAACCACAGATTTTTCCACATCTGTTTCATATTTGGATGTTTTACTGACTATAGACGATAATGACAACTACCAAGAAAACTGTATGATACGCAAGGTCATTTATTTTCTCCTTCACTCTGTTCATCCGCAAATAAAACATTTCTTTTCTGAACCATAATTGAAAAAAAGACTAAATTCAAAATAAACAAAACATTTACGAGTTAGTATTAGTTATGAGTTATATACTCAGCTCTACACAAAATATATTCCTCTATTTTTTTTTCATTCTATAATGTACAATTTTTAGATTTTATATACATGTATAAAGACTCCCGCAGCAGATTCCGATGAAGAAATCTTAATCTATATTTAAGATTTAATGTACAATTCTTAACATATCCATTAATTTTACTTATTATATACAATTCTGAAATTAATATCATCTTTTGAAAATATAAATCGTAGATCAAGGACAGCATTTATCATCTTCGTGAAAAACTTAACATTCTACAACGATAGAAAATAAAATATCAAAATAAAGTTAAACAACTCAGTTTGCTCGTGCTGATTTTCTTCAAACATTGTATTTTCTAGCTGAGTATGAACTCGAATGAATAGACTCATAAATAGACGCTTAAGAGAAAACATATCGAATACTCTACATATAAAATAGTTCACTTCTGCTAAAATAGAAATTAAACAATTTTTATACCGAGACAGGCTACTGACAACTCGTTTAAAGTCAGCATTTCGAAAATTTTATGGTCATTATAATGATTTGCAAATACAGCCTATCATTGGGTCGTATTTTGACTGACATGTTTCATACCTATTGTTAGGCCATTGTTTTTATTGTTCATACTAGACCGCGACTGCGAAATAGCACAGACACATATTTTGATCTGTCTAATCTTGCAGCTGGTCTCGATATACATGCAGACAGAACGAATAAACTTCCTACTGTCACTGTCTTCATGTCCCTTGGTCATGCGTTTAAGTCTCGGGAGGTGGGGGGGGGGGGGGGGTGTTAATGCATTACGATTTAAAGAATCTCCTATTTTAATTATCTTTGACATTTAGCAGTCAGGCACACTGATAGTAATGAACAGTGAACTCTTCGATATTTTTTCTCTTCGTACCATGATATGCTGGTTGGAGCTAAGTTGATGAATTAAGGAAACTACATCATGCAATTATCTTCCAAACTGACTAATTTAGTATTCTTATAAATATATTATATATTTAGAAGCGGAAAGATGTCCTCAGATATATATGCGTTGTTAGGGTGAAAAGTACAGTCGTTCCTGTTGATTTCTGAGTTCACATTAGTTTCTATAATAAACAGTGACAAAATACACTCACTGAAATACATAAGAATTATCGTGTACGGTCTGTATGAATATTCACTAAAGATGTTAAATTAGGTCCTCCGATTTTCTTTCTATCTTGGGATAATCAACTAACTATAAGCTGCTACATGCAAGGCCGATGATTGACCATGTCTATAATTGGGTCATTCAGAACAAAATCGGTAGTTTTCACTAAAACTTCTTCCCTAATTCAATATAGTTTCTTCATATTGAGTTGTTCGTGTCTCAGGACTTACTATCGCCCCAAAACTAGAGTTGAGGTGCCTTTGACAAGTTGAAAATATCGCAATGCTGGTCTCATATTTTAGTGCAACCGTACTGTTGCAATATTATGATTGACATTTTATGGTGGTTAAAACATATTTCAGAGACATTTGAGTATCTGTAAACAGTGTCGTCTATAGGATCGAAAATTAGAAACAGGTGTAAATCGCCATTTCTAAGTCAAAATTCGTGGTACAACTCAGCAGTTGTAAAATTTTAATCGAAACTCAAGAAAATTGAAAAAAATAAAAATACATATGATTTTTATCCACGTATTTACCGTTCTGTCTCTTTCAATAACAAAATAAATATTTTAACAATAGATATTCCAACATTGATTTTAAAATTCTATCGAAAAAAGTATTTCATCAGAACATGAGCATCACTCCAGTGGTCCAACATGCCATTAATGCCCATAGGATTTTTTTAATCTTCGTTACGTATATGGTTCATCATTCATACAAATATATTGGGTAATAAGATCCTTTATTGATTTAAATGAAAAAAAAAACCAATTAATTATTTAAATATACATCTGACCCTATGACAATATGCATCACAGTGCAAGTCTGTAGGGGATGGTTTTCATTTTTGTTCTCTTTGTCAGTTTGTGATCCTTTCATGAATTTCAATAGCATAATATTAAAAAAAAAAAAATTAATAAATAAACTATGCTTTTTCTGATTTGTGTATGGAATAGAGTGGTAAAATGTTTGTTTGTTTTTTTCTTTCTTATAAAAATGTATTTTGTTTACCATTCGTAGTTTACCATTCATTTCTTCCTTGGGATATGCTAGCTCAGATAAATGACTTACAATGTACATACATAGTGCCGTATTTAATTTTCATCCAGTGAAAAAAAAACCCACTAGATTTAACTGCATGTGATTATAATGATCCCTGGGAAACGTGAGAAACGTCAATGTAACATCTACCTGCATGCACAAGGTAGGTAACATGCTATAAATGTGGTAACAGATATGTGAATAAGCGATTGTTTCAGCTGTATGATTAGATATGAGAATGTACTGAAAAAGCCTCCGAATTCAACTCAGTTCCTAAGTAATTGTTTTGTGGTTTCATATGACATTGATTTCGGCAGATTTTTAAACAATATATGATTTTTCATAAACATTGATTAAAACCGTGGAAATATTATCCGGAAAAATAAGTTTATACGTGCCGAAAACGACAAAACTTATAAATACTGTCGATAGCCCCTGATTGATCATAAGTCAGTGGGGTGAATTCATATGGCTATATGTATATGAAAACAAAAATTACATTCTTTTTATTATGTTTCAGTGGGTAGATACATGTGTACATGTAATTTGAAGATTTAAAATTGAAGAAAAGGGGAGAGTTATATTGTTTAAGTGACACACTCACTGTGAAGCGCTTAAAGTAGCCCCCCCCCCCTCCCCCCAACTCCCGACTACAGGTTCGAGAGTATAGCAATCCTCTTCTTATATCAAATTATGAACGATGAAAGTTAATAAACTACAAATACATGAATTACTATAAATATTTTAGACTTCGTTGGGTTTTTTTTTACGTCCATGTCATTGATCAATACTTCGACCGACTAATGCCTCCATTGAATACCTCTACCTGCTTGCATCAGTTTAGTAGCATTGGTAGAAAACCTCCCAATGATAATCAATAGAAACGCGACCAGAAAACGACAGAAAATATAGAAGGTTCACCAACTTAATTATTTTAGAACTCTAAATAATAATCTTTACTTAAATCACAAATCGAAATTAATTTACATGTAGATCTACGGTTCTTCGAATAATGTGTTTACTTAAACATTAATAAAAATCATTCAAACTAAACAATTTAGACAAGGGAGAAAAACTGGATTTAATAATCCTACACCTAATTTTTTTTTACATCCGATATATCGAACGATTGTAAATTAAGTATATAAATTTAAGATATCACAATGTTACATTTATCGTGATTTTTTGTGTCCTCCGAATTCTTGTAGAAACAGAATAAAAATCTATTAGTTTATTCGTTGTATTAATCAGACTCATTATTTGATGTGGTATTCCTCGTCAATTATGATATATATTAAAATATTACAGTTCGAAACACGACAGATACTAGCATACTCAGTAATTAGTTTTATCTACGACGGATAATTACATAATTATTAACTAATTAGGGATTAGTATAAATTTAATATTTGATACGAGGAGTGATTATTTAAATGTGTAATATACGGGAAAGAAATCAATATTAGCTATTAAGAGCTTTAACAAAAGAACATTCTACCAACTGAGAGTGGGATAGAAATGTGTACAAAATTAAGATTCAGATTTCTGTAATATTGACACGAGCATTATTTAGCGTACTGGAACTCGGTGTATAAAGGCAGACAGGTCAATACAATTGAGTAATCCATATGTACCACGAGTCAACGTTGTTTGTAACTGGCCGTAAATCGAATGGTTTTAACAACTAACAATACGCTTTTAAGTATTTTATTTAAATGTTTGTAACACTCAACAAGAAAAATGACCTTTGCACTCCACACTGGAGGATATGAGCTGGACAATCTAGGAAATGAAGAAAAAAGTTCAAGTGACTTGTGTGTATCTCTCTGATTTTGAGGAAGTATGGAAAAAAACTGAACATGTTATTCTGAAGTATTAAATAAGTAAGTACATAAATTATCAGTGTCAAAGCCTTCCTTGTTGAATTATTATTAAATAAAACGGTTGATCGTTACTTGTGTGTATTACCATAATGGATTAAGTGGGATAGAGAATTCAAATTAAAATAGGCTGTTTCTGCTAGTGAAGTCCGAAATTTTACATCGGACTCAACATGGAACTAAATAAGATATGGACAGTGTTTCTTATGATGGGTGCATTCACTCTAGGTTGGTTTTTATATGGTATTGGAAGGGAGACTAACATTAATATTTCACACCATGGCCAGACCATATTGAATGCTGGAATTCGAATATTTAAAGGGAACACTAATACTGTGTCAGTGAAATTAAATGGAAGTACGAGTGTCCCAGACAAAAAATTGAAGTTGGGAATTTTAAACGTGCACAATAATAGAAATCTATTGAAAGAAAGAAGAAATAATGCTATCTCAGAAAAACAGGTCACGAGAAAACATGCGTTCCACTTTCAACAAACATCTAAATTAATAAAGGTTTTACCAACAGTTGAACCTTCATCTGTTCGACTGTATACTAGAAATGCAAAACAATGGACTAGAGACGAGAAAACCTGCAAAAGTTACCCGAAGTTCATGCAGGCAACATTAAGAACATCGGCGGGGGCTCTTCCAATTTTCATTCATAACCCCAAGGATGACATTCATGTCAGCAACAGTGTTCTTAAATATGGCTCCTGGGAAGGGGGGTATATTGACCTGATTCTGACCTTTCTAAGACAGGATCCAAAGTTACAATTCTTAGATCTCGGTGCCAATATCGGGGTATATTCAATGGCCGTTGCAAAATTCGGAAGAAAAGTGGTTGCTGTTGACGCACTGGCAATAAATATCCAAAGATTATGTGCTACTGTAAAACTTAACAATTTTACAAACAACGTTCAGTTGATATATAATGCGCTTTCAGATGTTCACGAAACAGTTTCCCTAGGAGCAGACAGAGGAAACATCGGAGGAACCTTTGTAGCAAAAGATAAAAATCCAAACAAAGTCAGAGGAAGTCGAGTTTCAGGTAACTATGGAAACGTACAGACAGCGACTCTTGACGACATACTCAAACTTCCGGATTTTAATCTGGAGAAAGTGATAATAAAAATGGATGTTGAGGGTTATGAAAATAGGGTATTCAGAGGAGGTGAAAACTTTTTCAATAAAGTTAACGTGAGAGCAGTGTTAATGGAATGGATGTGGCTTAAAACTGGCCCGGCTGGACAGGAAATAATAGACTTTTTGACTCGTCATGGGTTTCAACCAACAAGGCCGTCCTTAGCTACACAACTTCTACCTCTTACCAATAGACTTTCTTGGCCAAATGATGTTTTATGGAGGAGAAAACAATAGTATCAAAAAGTCTGTTTGAATTATTATTTTTGTGACAAAGAAAACAATTATAAGGACTTTAAAAAGGTATTGGTGAAAAATACAAGAAAAATACAATAAAAAAATGTTTCCCGCTTTGTCCAGTTTTTATCAGTTCTGCATTTAGTCGGTAACCCAAGGGTGCCACTATCGATTTATTTCTTACTGTGGCTTACAAGGGGCTCAGGTCCGTAGAAAGCAATTTCAATTGGGGGGGGGGGGCACAGCCAAACATTTTCAGTTGAGGGGCACTATCAACTACCAAATATTCCTTGACAAGCAAAAAAAAAAAAAAAAAAAAAAAAAAAGAGGTCATCAGACATTTTTATTGAGGGGGCACAAGCATGTGGTATCTATATATTTCTATAGTAATCTATATATTATATATCGGCAAATTTATTGGGGGGGGGGGGGGGCACACACACCCCTGTGCCCCCGGTTCCTACGGCCATGGGGCTTGTATAATATGCGAAACCATATAACGCGACGATGTATGTTTTGGAGTAAGTGTCATTCTTACGATGACAATGAATATTGTAATCTAATACATCAAGTTTATTTAGATAAAATTGAATTTTCTCCCTTTCATTGACTGTTTTATAATACCCTTTAATTATTTAGCATTATTTAGAGTCTTATTATAATTTTAGTAGAAGTGTGGATGTCTTTTGTATTATGTGCACTTTTCTGTCAGAATTACACCATTTTCAAAACTTAACACTACAATAAATGGAGCTATATTGTATAAGGATATATAATTATACTATTCAGGACGGCTTTGACAGAATAGGGCTTCGTACTTGTCGAGCTTGTGAAAAGAGTAATGAATTCTCCTTTTGGATATTCTCCTGAAGAATTTATTAACTTTATGACATTTAAAAAAAAATGACTTTAGTATTACTTAGGTAACAAGTATACGATGACTAATTACATTTTTACTGATAGTCTGAACTTTCAGTGGACGTGTGAGTACTGACACACTTATACCCACGTCACATGGAATCACACGTGTATGTTCTGAATGGTGTATGCTTTTTGTCTATCAAAGCATACGTTAGCATTGGAAGTGTTGCACACTTCACACAAGTAATGTATTCATTGTTTTCTATGATTCGCAGGTAATCTTTTCTTTCAAAATCCAAAGTTTTAGTAAAACTTTCCACCTTTCTTTTCCGTTATGCAGTGAGCTTAGTGATTTTTTTTTATTTGTTACAAAGCTAAACTGGGAAGGGAAGCGGGATAGGCTCAAATTCTATTGATGAAATATTTTGAATGCAATAATATAGGAGGATTTGATATGCTACAAAGAGTGGGGACAGCCTTTTCATACTACCAGTGTAACATCCCCCCCCCCCAATACTTTTAAATAATTCAAGATCAAGTGAATTGTTTAGAAAGGCATTTGAGCTGGAAAAACACTCTTTTTTAAAGAGCAATATTTTTCACACAGAGAAATTAGACATCTTAAAGGCCTAGAGCTTGGATTATTGTTAAAAAAAATGCATAGGAGGCGAGACAACTCTAAGTATAAAAATATAAAAAAGCTTTTCAAACCGAAAGTTAATTTTATGACGATCGAACCATGAAGCAGGCCGACATGGTAACAGAAAGGTAATAATATTTTTTTAATTTGATACGTGTATTCTAAAAATATTACATGTTTTAGGGTAACAGAAAATTATAATCCCGCACGCGAAACTGATTGAACTTTGAAGTCTGAGAGTTACACACTGCACGCCATAATGAAGTTGAAAACAAATTTTGACAAGTCAAAATTTGTTTTCAGTTTAACAGTTTTCTAAGAAAGAGATATTATATATACAAAAGCGCAAGCCTTGTTTCTTTTTAGAACAGGCCCGTAGGAAGCAAATTCACATTGAGGGGGCACCACCATACATTTTCTAGTTGAGGGGGCACTATCAACTTCCAAAATTCCTTGACAAGCAAAAAAAAAAAAAAAAAAAAAGGTCATCAGACGTTATTATTGAGGGGGCACAAGCACATAGCTCTATGTTTTCTATAGTAATTTACACATCGGAAAAATTATTGGGGGACACGCCCCCCCCCCCCCCCCCGGTTCCTACGGCCATGTAGAATACAGTTTGGATATGTCATTCTTAAAACGTGCATAATATCAAATATCTGTGGCAGTGTAGATCAAGCAGAGCAGAAAGATTTACATAAAGCGTATAAACCGAGGTCCCGTGTCGCAGTAGGTGCTGGCACGAAAAAGATCTCTCACTGCTCAATGGCCCTCAGTGCCGAGTATAGGTCAAAATTTGCTGTCCACCGGCAAGTGGTGGCGCCTCCATATGAGTGAAAAATTCGCGAGAGGGACGCTAAACAACCAAAACAAAAAAAAAACAAAACATTATCTTTGACCCAAACGCCTATGGCGAAAACGAAAGAAAATGTTTGAGCAGTGCCTGTACTATATTCTCTATTGAGAAGTTGATGGCTCGTTTTAATACTCCCCCTCAAGTTAAGGGGGAGTATTAAAACGAGCCATCAACTTCTCAATAGAGAATATATACCTGTATTAATTAAGAAGTTTGAATTCTAGCTTGCTCTTCATAAATATATGTGAAATAATTTGAATAATAATTATCATTTAGCCTCTGAATACTCCACAGGCACCTGCATGACGTTACTTATTTTTCTTTTAATAAAAAAAATTACCCCCTACACAAGGGGGTATATTTTTTTTTATTAAAAGAAAAATAAGTAACGTCAAGTGCCTGTGGAATACTCGTGTATAAAGGGGCTAGATTTACTGTAAAAGAAATCTGATATTGCAAAGTGCATTTTTAAAATTTGTTAATTTATATACATAAAATCTCTTACTAAGAAAACTATCAAGTCAAACAGTTTATTTTACAACTTCCTTACTATTGTTTACTGGGGTTGGGGTTGGGGGGGGGGGGGTGACTCACAGGCAACGTCAATTAGACACATTAAGAAACTTTGGACACTCTCAAAACTGTTTCTACAAACAAAAGTTCTTAGCAAAGCCTTAATGAAATGTACTCTCTATTACGAAGTTGACTGCTCATTATTATCTGTTGAGAAGTTGACTGCTCATTATTACTCCCTCACAAGGAGATATTACTTATTGAGGCAGAGTAAAAAGGAGCCGTCTTCTCAGTAGAGAATATAATTGAATGCAGTACAACACGCAAATACACACGTACACAGTTCATGAAAAATGCAATTATACGGGTGAACCTCTTCATTAAAGATTAAATTTGTGTAAGCTAACTTGTACTCCTCTCCTTTAAATGGAATTTTAAGCAAAAGTTACACATATTAAGACCTGAACAGAAAATTTATTGAGTAACTTAACTGTTTTTAGATTGAATTGGTAGGAAGTTTGTAACACTGCCAAAGATGGCCACCAGTACAACTAAAGCACAGGATGTTATCCTGTGTCACCTCTGTGACAAGAGACCCGCCCTCCTTCACTGTAATCCCTGCCAGGTCAACTTATGCGAAGAATGTGTCGGAAAGCACTATATGACGTCAACATCATCTACTCACGAGATTGTCAAATACGGAGACAGAAAATTCCACCTTTCATTTTCAAACTGCAAAGTCCATAGTGGCGAAAAGTGTACTGTTAAATGCCAGAATTGTGATGTAGAAGTTTGCCTTAAATGTCTCAGCGGAGCCCATAATGGCCATAGAATTATTGAAATGAAGGACATTGTTGATGAAAAGAAAAAGCTTGTGGAGAAAGACACAGCTTATCTAAAAGACGATATCATTCCAAAATTTGGAAAAGCAGATACAGAAATAGAATCCAAATTAGCGACTTTAAATGCTAAATGTGACGAATTAGAACAATCAGTCACAGAGCATGGGCAAAAATGGCAGCGATTTATTGAAGAAATTGTTGCGAAGAACAAGAAAGATATTGCAGAAATGAGAGAAAATGGTATCAGGAAATTAAAAGAATACCAGAAGGAAATCAAAAATGGTCTTGCAGGCCTACATGAAATTTCTCTGCAAAACAAAAAGATCTCTCAGTCCGTGAATGTTAGTTACATCACAAAATATGAAAGCAATATTCAGAAGTTTCAAAAGATTCCCTTACATATAGAACTGGATCTACCAACTTTCGTTTCCAAGGACATAGATAGAGGTAAACTTTACCAAGATTTTGGAAAATTAAAGGAACCCAAGATCCAAACAGAACCGATTTTCAGATCAAATGTATCTAATGAACTCCTAGACATGGCCATAGAAATCACCTCCTTCTCAACTGGAATGATGAAGTTAATGAGGATGGCATGTGTCAATACAGAGGAGGTGTGGATAACGGGGAGGAATAAAACCATTACTCGTTTTAACATACAGGGTTCTGTACAGAAGACCGTTACTTCTACTTGTCCGAATTATCCTGGTGACATTTCAATTTCAAAAGAAGGACATCTGCTGTACACTGATGCAGTAAATCAAGTAATTAATGATGTCCACCAGACAACAGCACATATCACAGCACCACAGGGATGGAAACCAGTAGGACTGTGTTGCACACAATCTGGTGACTTACTGGTTAGTATGTGCACATCTAATTATAAACATTATAAAATTGTCCGTTATGAAGGTCAAACAATAAAGCAGGAGATAGAGAAGGACGACCAAGGTAAACCACTATATAAAGGAGGAGAAAATATGCTCTTTGTGACGGAAAATAACAACGGGGATATCTGTACCTCTGACTGCAATGCTCGAGATGTCGTTGTGATGAATAAGGTCGGAAGACTCCGATTCCGATATAAAGGACAACAAACGATGGAGGAGCAGTTTGATCCTACCAGTATTGTCACAGACTCTGCAGGCTGTATAATAATAAAGGATAACGGGAATTCCTGTACCCACATCATTGATCAGGACGGTCAGTTTCTCCATAGTCTGGATTTCTGTGGAGCACTGAGTGTGGACTCACTGGGACGACTGTGGGTGGGGGAGTATGAGAGTGGAAATGTGAAGATCGTCAAATATACGAAA